CTCGCATACAGCTCTGTTTTTAAATACCACACAGCTACTAGGATACTAGCAGACTGGTGAAGACGTTTCAAAACAATGCCCAAGAACCTGAGATGTGTCTTTTTCGGAGTAGTGCATGTGTAGATTTGTTTGTCTCCAAGAGCACTGTTTTGAAGACGCGCCTGACGTTTCAAATTGATCAAGTTACACAAGTTGACAACGACAACAAGCGCTGTTCTGTTGGTACCTGCGAGTTTTAATGCCAATGCTGCATGTGACGAGACCTCTGGTCGGTCGAGTTGTTCCCTGTACATGGGCACGTCGGCCCTACATCCCCTGTCCTGTGTCTTGTTTTGTGTTTGTGTCCACATGTCTCTTGGTACGGCTGTCTTCTTCCCACATAAAAAGACGAAAAACAATGTGGGCCCAATCATCAGGGAACATAACGGATGGTGATTAGAGTGTCTAGGACTATTATTGGGTGGGGGGAAGGTACTAGGAACTGCATTGCTCATAAGTACAGCGCGAAGAAGTGGGACAGTGGAATTCAGTACAGTCGGGCGCCGAAGGACGGAGTGCCGAAGGACGGAGAGGCGAAGGAGGGACGAAGAACGGAGTGAAGAAGGACAGAGTGACGAAGGACGGAGTATGACGAAGGACGGAGTATGATGAAGGACGGAGTGACGAAGGACTGAGTGACGAAGGACTGAGTGACGTAGGACGGAGTGACGAAGGACGAAGTGACGAAGAACGGAGTGACGAAGGACGGAGTGACGAAGAACGAAGTGACGAAGTGACGAAGGACGGGGTGACGAAGGACGGAGTGACGAAGGACGGAGTGACGAAGGACGGAGTGACGAAGGGCGGAGTGACAAAGGACGGAGTGACGTAGGACGGAGTGACGAAGGACGGAGTGACGTAGGACGGAGTGACGAAGGACAGAGTGACGAAGGACAGAGTTATGAAGGATGGAGTGACGAAGGATGAAGTGACGAAGGACGGAGTGACGTAGGACGGAGTGACGTAGGACGGAGTGACGAAGGACGGGGTGACGAAGAACGAACGGCCTAGAACCTCATCATGCACAGCATATCAATGCATGTATGGTGGATTAACTGTGCATGAAAATATGACTGGTCTAGGTTGGGAGGCTGACCCTAAGTTCTTCGACGACTGACAGTACTTTACGGCTCAAGCTAGGGTTTGTCATGCCTTGTCTTGTGTTTATAGAGTTCTGGACAATAACAGCCTCACCAGTATTCATCCCGACACGTTTAGACCACTCGCCTCTACTCTGCAGGTCCTGTAAGTATGGCGTTGTGTGTGTGTGTGTGTGTGTGTGTGTGTGTGTGTGTGTGTGTGTGTGTATGTATGTGTGTGTGTGTGTGTGTGTGTTGAGTGTATGTGTGTTTGTGTGTGTGTGTGTATGTATGTGTGTGTGTGTGTGTGTGTGTGTGTATGTGTGTGTGTGTGTGTATGTATGTGTGTGTGTGTGTGTGTGTGTGTGTGTGTGTGTGTGTGTGTGTGTGTGTGCACGCACATCTGTATGTATTTGTGCATATGTGCACGTGTGGTGGTGCACGTGTGTTGGTGCGCTTGCTTTTATGCGTCCGGTTGTGTGTGTGTGTGCGTGTGTGTGTGTTGGGGGGGGGGGGGGGGGAGGATGCGTGTGCAAGTGCATATGCAGGCATGAATGCATGTGTTAAGTGGGTAAGACTTTTTATAATTCCTCTGTTTTTGCTAGCCAACAGAGCTACAGCTAGTTCTGACATGCGCATTCTCTTGTTGTCACAGGAAGATTGCAGATAACATGCTGGCTTCTATACAGCCCACCACATTCTCCGGTCTCGCTTTCCTCTCCTTACTGTAAGCAATGGATGGGTTGATTCTGCGGGTTTAATAAGGATTTTGGCAGGTGTTGGCCGTTTTGAACTGGTAAATCGGATACTTTTGGGGAATAAACATGGCAAAAGAATGCTGTGTGGGATGCTGTGTGGGATGCTGTGTGGGATGCTGTGTGGGATGCTGTGTGGGATGCTGTGTGGCATGGTTTCGCAAAACCGTCCTGAAGTGCAACTACTCAGCTCACTTGCCTGTTTTGTCTAACTCACGTAATAGCCTGGTGACGAAGCAGCACGCATGCAGAACCATTTGGTTTTCCAAACCTGTTGCACTTGGAGAGCTCATTGGGTGTTTCATATCCAGGGTGTGTCATGTCCAGGGTATGATATATCCAGGGAATGTTGATATCCAGGGTGTGTTATAACCAGGGTATGTTATATCCAGGGTGTTCTATCCAGGGTTTGTTCTATCCAGTGTACATGTATGTTCTATCCAGGGAGTGTTATAACCAGGGTATGTTCTATCCAGGGTACTTTATATGGAGGAGTCAGGGTTCTGGCACCCAGGGCATAGCCTGGAGTTACACCAAACAGAACGTTTGACATGTTGCCTTTTAGATTTATAAGGAACTTGTCACCGCCTACTATTGCCTATAGCATGGCTATGCATACAGTTAATCAAGGCTTCACTCCATCGCCGATTGTCTTGCATTTGTTGGTGTGTATGACCCCGCAACTTGGACCGTGTTCTCCCTCTGTACAGCGACCTGAGTCGTAATAGGTTGACCAGCGTACCGTCTGCTGCTTTCGATACACTCAAGAGTTCGGCGAATATGTAAGTGTGTGCATTTTGGAATTCAATGCTAGAGGTGGTGTCAATAATGCCATGGTGGTGCGCAAATGTACGCCTTCAAGATGTGCGCTGGTTCACGATGATAATCGGTCGTGATGTTATCTCTCCAGTTGGACCATCATGTTGTCCACAACCCATTCACTCAGCAGTGGGCCGTGATCTGTATTTGCGGATGTGTGATGGTCACGAAATAGCGAAATTTATCCGAAATGTTTCCCATTTTTTCAATAGTGTATCTCTAGTGTGGTATATCCTTTAAGGCGTGCCTTTGCTTTGTCCTGTGCCGTGTCTATGCTAGCTTGCTGAGCAGCAACAGGTTGTCGTGTTCGTCGAGCGGAGCTAGCAGCATGTGCTCTGCATCCTGGGGCCGTGCCGTAGGAAACTGTTCGCTTCCCTGGGGCACCAAGCAGGCAATCAGCGCCTACCAAACCAAGCGTAAGTGCCAAGAGCAGCTCACAACCTGTTCATTGCCACAGTACACTACTGTTAACTCTGAAGAACTGGGGGGGGGGGGGGGGGGACTAGAGGTGACGGGGGGGGGGGGGGGGGGGGTGGAGCAGCCTCGTAGCCTAGACGGTTCTTACTTCATCTATTTCCATCTATACACAGTTGGGCAGGCCCAGTGGAACCTTTTGGCCATCAACGTGTGTTTACCGCTGATGGGGTCATATGTATACCCTCCATATCACACACAAAGCATAAAAAGGCTAGGGTATGACCGGACAAATCCAAACCTGTTTCCACCGGTCCTGTTGAGTCATCATGTATACATTGGTATGCTGTGCTTGGTGAAATCCTAACCTGTTCGTTCTTCTGCACCCGACAGTACTGTTACGTTACACACAGTGGGTTGAGTACTCTCTGCTCGCAAAGTGCTTAAGTGCCCAAATGGGCATAGCTTCCTTACAGGCAAGGTGGAACAGAATTGTATGGCAACTCCGATTCACACTTACGTGATCATCAGCCACACGAGTATTGGCCATGCGCCCTGGCCAAGAACAGGTTTGCCACGGTGATGTGTACTTGTGAGGAGAGTCACCGTTTAAGCCCCCTGACCATGGTGCACCTCAACTCCTCTTCCATGACTAAAATTACCAAACATAACTTGTGTCCGCGTGTGCGTGTGTGTGTGTGTTTTGTGTTTTGTTTGTGCACCAGATTGTAGCAATGGCACAGCTATTGGTGAGTGTTCTAAGTACTTGTCGAACATATACACATACATGCACATGTGTAGTTGGGTAGCAGGGGCATAGCTGTTCCCCCTCTTTTTTTGGGGGGGGGGGGGGGGGGGGGGATGCACGGCCGCATACATGTACATGTATGTGTAGGATGGCTGGTGCATGTCATTCATGGTGATCCTGTGCGTGCTGAACCTAGGCCGAAATTTTACGGGGTGGGGAGGAGTGCACGTGCTCCCCGTGCCACATGAGTTCTACGCGCATGGGTACCAGCTCTGGGGTGCGGGATGCGTTCTTGCGTGTCAGTGCTTGTAAACGTATGTGCACGTACAATGCTGCTGAATAGAATCCGATCATGTGAGTGAAGTCAGCAACCTGCACTAGTACACTTCTCTAGTACACTCCTTGAACATATACATGTACGTGTGTAGTTGGGAAAGGGGGGGGGGGGTCATGCTTCCAAACTTGTGTCCGTGTTCAGTGCTGCTTAACCCTTTAAGAGCCGCCCCATACTTGAATGCGTCGTAAACGACGCATTCAAATGCAAAACTTCAAAAGATCGTAACTCAGTCCAATCTTGCTCAAATCCAGTGATCGAAATATTCAGGGCGAAGAGAAAAGTCTCACCTGTCGGGAGAAACAATCCGCGAAGCGCTGCGAGCTACGGTTCCTGAGATAAATCACTCGTAAGTTGAGCCACGATCGCGGCAATTTCAAAAGCGCGCAGTGCGACTTTAGTATTGAGAATTTTGAGACTTTTCGTCATGCTGGTTTACTCGAATTTGCATGGGTTTCACTGTTCATATTGTCAAGAGTACACAGCGAAAAAATTGGAACTCCACGATTGAGCAAAATGTAATATCTGGAGCGGGACGCAATTGGACGCATTTGGGGCATTTTTCGTACTGTCGCTGCGATCTAGCGCTGGATAGACGGTGTGCTGGCGATCATGATCGACCTCATTCTCTTCCTCTCGCGGAGACCTTTCCAGGAAGCCCTAGATTGTGAGAATTGAGTGAGTAGAACTGAAGCTATGATCCAAGGAACACGAAAAAATGCAGAATTTTGAAATTTTCCTGTGGCTCTTAAAGGGTTAAAGGGGAAGTACAATTTCAATCAATTATTCACCTGTAGTCTTCGGGGTGCGGAGTCGAATGGTCTTGGTCCGAGGAAACTGAGACACTCCCTTCTTTCTTTATTCCCAATCGAACTTGCCACTTCCACCGAAACTGGGTGACTGCGCCCTACTAGCTGGGATTTGTATGCAAAACGTCAGTAAAAGCGCCATTTCGTTCTTAAAAAAGCTTGAATGATCGCTATTGGCCTATGTGTTGTACTCTTTTGGATACTGAGTCGATTGGTTTTGGTCCTAGACGGCTGCGATGCAGCGTTCAGCCCTTATTCCCAATCGAACATGACTGAACACGCGGTCACATGCTCATGTGTACATCAGTCACCTGGTCACCGTGCCTGCAGGCTACAAATTTACAGCCCGTTTGCGTGTGTTTCTGTAACTCAAGTCGAACCTTGGTGTGAAAGTGATTGCACTGTTTAGTACTGCCCACACAGGACTGCGGAATGATTGAAGGCGCAAACTTGAGTGACACGACTGGATGTCAGTACTGTATATTAAAGGGAGTCAAGTCTGAGGGATATATAATAACTGATTCAGTGGCGTCGCAAACGGTACGGTCACTACGGTATTGACCGTACCGCTATTTGCCCCAAGTACCCCGGGAATCAATAAAATGCACTGATTTGGGCTCTTAATTTCCAAACTTTTCGGCTGTGCCACCACTCCCCCACGAGTCAAATTGTACTTCAGATGGCTGACCGCACCACACTAAATTACCTTCCGACTCCTCTCTGATTGATAAAAAGAGTTCGATATTGCGGAGTAAAATGGGAAAGGGCGGTCTGCTCCGAAACATTTCCCAATGAAGTCTGAGGGAGTCGTGACATTATTCTTTTTCATTCTTTTTGTATTGTATTGTATGCTCAGTTGTTAAAGTGCCTAGCCCGTCATCGTTGGCCACCAACTTCACCGGCGTCAGCTGTCAGTCTGTGACTGGTACGCTGATGTGTACCGACCTGAAGATCACGGCCGTGCCCAAATTCAAGGCTGACACGTCCTCGTTTACCATTCTGTGAGTCACGTCCAAACTGAATGCTAGTACAATACCTTTTTATTTTATTTATTTTTTACTATTGAACACTCACTGCATGATGAACTAAAATGAGGAGGAGAACTCGACACAATGGTACATATCCAGCAGGACGGAGTGGGTGGGACCTGTGAAGCTCAGCCGACCAAGGGTCTCGGCATCACAGCTGCACATGTGCACCAAACCTACTTTAAAGAGAGAACTCAGATGGTGAGCAAAGGAAAACAGTTGTGACATGGAAAAAAGTGCGGGCACAAGTTTTTTTCTTTTCCTTTTTTCCTACAAAATCCACAAATCTCCAGACACTGGGGTGAATAATGGAGTGTGGTGGTATGTCAGTTTTGTGCTAGTTTGTGCACGTCAAACTGTTCAAAATCTGGTTTAGTTGGTGGACTCAATCTCATAACTTATGAACACACTTTCTCCCATGTTACAATACCTACTTTATTATTACACTTTTTCTTTTTCTTTTTTCTGACTCATATTATGGCAACACTGGCCAAAACTCGGCAGCACTGCGACTTCACACAGTCGGACGGTTCTGTCTCAACATTTCGATCACCCTGACCATGTTCAGGATGAAGTGGGTAAGGAAGTGAGGCAGGCTTCAAAACAACAAACCCGAATGAAAAGCACACACCCGGCTCGAGACGAAAAAATAATAACAAGAAAGATAACAAAGTTGCAGGGAGGACGAAGATACGATTAGAACACAGTAGTTGAGGGGTTTTAAACTCATAATTGTTATGGTGATACCTTGCAAAGCCTGAACGTCCCACCTATAGCCTATAAGACTGCCCCCTGATCGGGGAAACTGATGCATTGTGCCACCCATCTGCATAGCTATCGTGTTTTGTTGTGAGTTTCCGAGTTTGATTGTGAAAAATGTTCATAACACCTACTGTTTAGAACCTACAGAGGCTATCCCTTATTGTTGTTTCTCCTTGCTTTTTCCTCTCTCTGTGACTAATGTTTCAGCGTGTTAGATACATGTGCAGTGAAGTATCTTCCAGCTCGGTCATTCAGGGACTTCCCCAACGTGAAGGGCCTGTAAGTGATGAGTGGTGTGTTCTGCTTTTATGTTCAGTGGAATACTTTAGCAGGCCTCAACCTGATGCCAAGTAGCAAGACCCCACAGTACCTCCCAGCCCACTCACAGGAGCCATCACAACTGCCTCCCAGGCAGACCCCTCCCAGCCCTACCAGCCCACCTCAGCCGATCCCAGCCTTCCCAGCCTTCCCAGCCCCCCCCCCCCCCCCCCTCAGCCCTCCCAGCCCCTCCCAGCCCCTCCCAGCCCCCCTCCCACCCCCAGTCTCCTCCAAGCCCATCTCAGTCCTGGATCAGAAATCAATGTGTGAGGACAAAATCACGCCTTGCGCAATCAGGAAGATTCATCGAATTCACATCGTTTTAACTTAACGTTACGAGCTGTGAGATTGACTACACAGCCAACCTTGGAAGTAACAGCCCTCGACTGGCCATGGCAGGTGAATGTATGCAGTTAAATAGATAGTGTGTTTGAAGATATTGTCATTATCCATGAGTTCCAGGTATATCCGAGGTAACTTATTATTCGCTGGGTTAGCTTTGATCTGAACATGCTGAGTGTTGCTTTCTTCCCCTAACCTCTAAGTTGCCACCTTCTTCCTGGGCAAATTTGCTCATTGTCCTACTTCATTATTTTCTGTTTTGCCTTCACAAAAGCAAACTCGGATGGTGAGCTAATGTAATGGATAAAATGGCAGGACAAAATGTTACGAGTAATCATAGCCAGCAATCGCATGTCATCACGTACATTCAAAATCAACATAATTTTGCGAATCGACCTTTTTTTCAGGATCACTTTTCAACGAGGACGAAGCAAAGTCGGCCGAACGAAGCCTAGAGGAAGAAAATCACCCTCTCCACTTCACCATCACGATACTGACATAGATACGAGATGAAACAACTAAAAATCCACAAGAAAACTGTACGGCCATCATCGCGCTGACTTTGGTCTGACTTTGGTCTGAGAATTTCTATCACGATCAAAAATGTACGAGGAGC